GTAATTAAATGGAAAAGCTGATCCAAAGTCTAAGATTTGCAGAACATTGAAAGCAGATGATTTAGGGATCTGAGGGCGAAGGTAGGAGAGAAGTTCCAGTCACTGACGAAAGAATCCTGCCCGCTAGAGGAAGTGATCAGAACATTTATAGATGCTAAAAAAAAAAGGGGGGGAGGGTTAAGAGAGTGGGAGACTCCCAGACTGTGCTGATAAGGCTTGTTAGCTGCTGGAAGGAAGCTATAAATGAGAAATGTTATTTCTCTAAAATAACAATATGTTGAAGAAAACAAATAGCTATTATTTATTAAGCAATTACTATGTGACAGGCAGTGATTTGAATTTTTCTTTTTCCATTTAATTGCAATGACAACCCTGTGAGGTAGTTACTATTATTAAGGCCTTTTTTTTTTCTTTTAGATAAGTAAATTAAAGTACTAAGAGCTTAAATAACTTGCTAAGATCACAAAGCCAGTAGGTGGCCAAGCCCACTTCCTTAACTATTAATACTATGCAGGCCCAAGTCAAAGACATGAAGACATATAGTTTATTTACAAAGGAATGAAGTTTCACAGGAAACAGAGGGAAGTGGACAGTAAGAAAACATGTGGAGAGTGGGGAGGCAGAATTTAGGGAGAGGAGGACAGTGAATGGGACAAAGTGAGAGACAGGAATAGATCATTGAGGAGGTCCACAGCTTTAATGATGCTAAAGGATTACCAGAATGAATGGCATTGGAAAAACAGCTGGCCCTAGATTTCCCAACTTTACAAATAAGAGAATTTTCTACTTGTTTTCCAGAATGAGATGTGCTCATGTGATAGAGTACAATCTTAGTGATGGAATTTTTCATGATGATAAAAATGAAACTTCCAGAGTTTGGTCACCACCCCATAAAAATTAATTGGTTTCATTATTTTTTCCCTAAAGAATATTTCTGATCTGGATATGTAAGTCAAAGGAGGAAGAAGAACAGGAATTAAATTACAGTCTACATGTCCTTCATCATGCAGGCTTTAAAATGCCATGAAATAAAGTAAAAAAGGAACATGAAAGGCAGCCTTTTAAATAGAGAAGTTATAAAGCAATAGGCATCTGAGAGGTGCATGGGGAAATGGAGAATTTTGCTTAAGTAGAAAACAGGGTTGAGGGAAATTAGGGGCCAATTGCACATGTCTGTATGCACCAGGTTTTTACTTAGCAGTCTCTGTGCCTCTCCACACATCTGTCGGCATGGTCAAGGGCATTTACCAAGTTGTTTTTTGTACATTTACCAAGTTGTTTTTTGTACATTTACCAAGTTGGTTTTTGTACCAGCACTAAAGTCTGGGACATCAAAATATATTTATGAACATAACAAGGCATGCTTGTTTTTAAAATGTATTCAAAAGGACCACTCTAGAGCAACCAATGGCTTTGGTGACCTGAATCTTCTCTAGGGGAATAAATATATACATTTCTATGGGAAATAAACACTTCTCTGGGAAAACTGAGTCCAGCCAGTTTTCTGAGATTGTATTCCAGCGGTACCTGCATCAGGACCGCTATGGCTAATCCTCTGAAATGCAAATACCAGAGGCCCCTCCAGACCCAAAAATCAAATCTCCAAGTATAAGTCCTGGTGATCTGAACTTTTAAAAATTTCCTAATGGATTTGTATGTGTGCAACAGCTTTTGAGTCTTTGGTCACCCGGAAGGGATACCAAAACAAAGCAAAACTGGCTGGCTGAGAGCCAGAGCGGCAACGGATATTTCCTCACTGTAAACTCTTTTCTACCTTTTGGATTCTGAATCTTTTCATGAACAAAACTTAAAAAGTGAGCACCATTTTGATATTTGCAACGCCAGCATCAGGCAGAGCATCAGGCAAAAAGCAGGCTAATCATAAAAATATTTATGTTGGCCGGGCACAGCCTGTAATTCTAGCACTCTGGGTGGCCGAGGCAGGCAGATCATTTGAGCTCAGGAGTTTGAGACCAGCCTGAGCAAGAGCAAGACCCCATCTCTACCAAAAAATAGAAAGAAATTAGCCAGACAACTAAAAATATATGTAGAAAAAATTAGCCAGGCATGGTGGCACATGCCTGTAGTCCCAGCTACTCAGGAGGCTGAGGCAGGAGGATCGCTTGAGCCAGGAGTTTGAGGTTGCTGGGAGCTAGGCTGACACCACGGCACTCTAGCCCAGGCAACAAAGTGAAACTCTGTCTCAAAAAATAAAATAAAATAAAATAAAATAAAATAAAATAAAATAAAATAAAATAAAATAAAATAAAATAAAATATATGCGGATTTAAACTGATCACCATGGTCATGAAATACTTTATAATAAATAACACACATTTTTTATATCCCTGTTTCTTCTCCTCTTCCCCGACATTCTCAAAAGAAAGAGAGTAGTTTCTGTCTTGCCAACAGCTTTGGCACCAGGACCCATGTTTTGTTCCTTCTGAGAACATACATCCCCCATAACTGGAACTTAATAGATGTACAGGGTTGATGTTGGCAAGCACAGATAAAGCTTCTCATATTTTTCTCTTAGTTATATTTTTATGAATAGTATCTATTTCATTTATCATAAATAGTGGAGTATGCAGAATTTAGCATTTACCTTTTCCCTTTTACAGAAAAAAAAAAAAATTCCCAGATAAGTATCTTGTTATACATATATGTGTCTATCAAGCTAGAAGGAATATTTTTCAATTGTTAATCAAATAAACTTTGTGCCTCTGGCAGAGTTTTCAAGAGCTTGTTAAGTTGTTTTAGTAACAACTAATTACTCCTGCTGTGTTTATAGCAAAAAATTTTTAATAAGGGCAGTTGTAACTTTGTTTGACATTTTCTTCTTTCTCACTGGCATCTCTGGGTATAATACAAATAATTTTTTGACCCATTCTGTCTTTATAAAAAAACAAACCAAAAATAAAACCTCAGTTCTGAAACACTCCTAAAATTATAAAAGCATCATCTTTAGGAAAAGATGAATATTGACTTTCCCTGAACTGGTGGTAGCCTTTTCAAGCTTGTTTGTTTGTTTGTTTGTGTTTGTTTGTTTGTTTGTTTCTATGCTGAACAGAAATTGTAGTTAGGTGAGGAATTTCTAAGAAGTGAAGTGATTTTATGAATTCATAGGTTAGAACACAGGTAAGGAAGGAATAAATGCTGTTGGCAAAGCAAGCTAAGTTTTTGGACAAAACATTCTTGTTATATATCTGTTCTCACCAATCCTGTTGCTTATTGTGCATACCTTCCCAACTAAAAAAGATAAAGAGAAAACTTGGAGATATTACATGTTCCACAAAAGATATGCTATACTCCATGTCTAGAGAGAATATTGTGATTCATTAAAAAAAGCATAAAATGAAATTGAAGTGTTTAATATTCTGACAAATTATACTGCCTTTATGGCCTTGTATTTCTTTAGGAGCATGAAACAAATCCCAGGCTTGAGTCCAAAGTCTAAAAGGGTCAGAAGGTAATATCCATTACAAAAGTATTACTTTGAAACAGTCCCTTCACTTAGGGTGCACTTTGCATTATGATAAAGTGGGAATACAAAAATAGAATTGAAAACCTTGGAAATGTTCCATGCTTGGAGGCTAAGTAGCTTTTCTTTTACAGGACTAAGTTTGACACCTTGTAAGTATCCCCTTAATTCTTGCAAATCAGGTTCAATTTCATCAAAACAATATGATTAAGTAGCTCATAACTCATTTTGGTTTGCCTCTGTCTTTATCTGAGTAGCATTTTTTTAACTTTCTATAGTCATGCAGGTAAATAAGTAGCTTCTGCCGTGTTACAGAACAAAATGTGTTCTGAGATTAAAAAGTGAATTCAAAGGGAGTTCAAATGTATTAGTATCACAAAGTCATGTAGTATCTCTAAGTTTCCCATTTTCTGTCCAATGCAGATATTATTCAAGTGAACTATGACACCTATAGGATGTATTGATATATCTTTCATAAAAATAAAGCAAGAAATTTGAATTAGTGGCTAATAGGTTAAAAAGACACTTATTTTTAAATTGGTATTAAAAATTATTTAAGAGAAGGGCAATTTAGAATTATCATTTTGTTATTTGTTATTAAGCTACACTGAAAAATGTGGCTTACAAAACAAATGAGTAAACAGTGCCTCTAACAGATATTGGAAAAGAACTTTCAAATTTAAAAATGATTTTCATAAGTTTCTCAGTTGCGTAACATTTTATAAATTTTGAAGGAGAAAAAGAGGGGATTTAAAAAGTCACAGAATTAAAGCTACTACCAAAAAAAAAATAAGGTTAAATTTTAAAGGTCTCACTTTTCAGAAAGACCCAAAATGGTAAAAGTCTTACTTAACAATTCCATAGCTACATCAGTCTGCTGGTACAGATAGCTATTTAAAATCACCCTCAGAGTATTTTGCTTGCAAAAGTTCTAAGATTTAATATATGATCAGGCAGAGTGAATAGAGACACAGTGGAATTTTCTTGATCACAGGTAAAGTTTTTCATGTGAAAGCCCACAAGATTTGCTCTATAGAATATAGGATATTACTATTTCTTCTTATTCATAGTTGTAATTACATTTTTTCTTATTTGTCACATCAAATCTTAATATAACTTTTTCTCTCATCTCTGCCACTTAACCTCAATGAATCTTCCTGAATATTTCTTTCAGTTTCTTAATGAATGACCTTATGTTCATTATCATGACAATAACAATAACCATTATTACTATTCATTCACATGACATTATATATTTTGGGAAAGTACTATTAACACATGAGTTATTTTTATGAAATATGTTAAATTTAAGGAAAAAATGTTCATCAAGTCTTGCTGACAAAAAATCAGTATGCATTAATATAATGAGAGTTTTAGAGACATCTAAAATCCAAAACCATGCCATGAATTGAAACCTTGTGCAAAGACTAAAGGAAAAAAAACTGGCATTGCTGTGATTACACTGCCCTCTAGTGTTAAGATAACTGATGTTTGCACTGAAGTTCATTTGCCTTTTCAGATCAGCATTTTCATGACCCATTTGTCCAACTATGGGAATGATCGACTGGGATTATACACATTTGTGAATCTGGCCAACTTCGTGCAGAGCTGGACCAACCTGCGACTTCAGACTCTGCCTCCAGTGCAACTGGCTCACAAGTATTTTGAGCTATTTCCTGATCAGAAAGACCCTCTCTGGCAGGTAAGATTTGTTCAATAACTGGTATAAATTTTTAAATACAGAAACCTATTTTATAGTTCTGTTTCATAATCCAAATCTGAAAAGTAAAGGCATCTGAGAAAAAGCTGTACATTCTTGAAATGTTAGTAGATTTGAGACAGTACTTCTTCCTGAATTGTAATCTTACATTATTGCTACATAGCCAAATTCTGTTCTCTTGCCCATCAGAAATTTTTGCGTTTTGAAAGTTCAATGAGGGATACAGTGAATGTAACTTTCATTCAGGAGTGAGAGATCAATTTCACATGGCAACAGGCTGAAAGAGTAGAAGGTGGCGAATGGGCAGGTGGCCAGCTGGGTGGCCTTGAACACATCCCCGTCTCTAATGGCTCTGAGAAGAGTTCAGAACTGACATCTGCCTTCTGAAACATGAGGTACATCAGCAGCCACAGAATGTGGGCAGCTTTCAAAAGTATCAATTAGGGATTACTTTGGACATGGGAGTATTTCATGGGAAAATCACTGAGCTTCCTAAGAGAAAATACCACACTAATATGACATATTCAAACTTCTAGAAGTAACTCACATTTCAAAGCATAGACTCATGTGTCATAGAATTGCAGGAAACTACTTTGAATTTCAATTATCAGCTCCCTGATCTGCAGAAACTAGTAATTTTAGCAAACAGTTACATAGTGCTTACTATGTAGGCATTTGACATGTGTTATCTGATTTACTCCTCACAAATACCCTATGTGGTAGGTACAGGTATTATTTGCATTTTATAGATAAAGAAACTAAGGCACAGAAAGGCTGAGTCAATTATGCAAGGTCACACAGCTAGTGCGTCACAGAGTACAATCAGTTCCAGGCCTATCCGGCTCCAGAGGCTGTGCTCTTAATCCCTGTTCTCAATGCTACTAGAGTAACAGCCCGAGCTGCTGCTAAAACAGTAACAATCTTCAGAAATCAGTAAATTTCACAGATTGAAGTTGTGGTGAACTCTGAACTCTACAGTCAATTCACCCAGCTTTGAACTGTGTGCTAATTACCTCCTGAGCACAAATAGGTAGCTCCAAGAAGAAACGTGGCTACACATCTAGCAGGTTAAGGTCAGTGGTTATGGACCTATGACTGCATATCACTTTTCAGTTGTTGTAATAAGCGTCTTTTCATCTTAACCACTACGAAACATCGGCACCTGTTAGCCACTGGAAAGATATGGAACTTTCCTGCTAATTTAACACCTTATTTTTAAACTGAAATCATTATTATTTCAGGTGACAAGTTTATAATGATTTTTTTCCAGAACAGCAGCCAAAAAGAATACTCTCACTTTAGTCGCAACATCTGCTGCTTATTAAAAATAAGCAGGTTTATTTAACTTTACATTTCTACAGTAGTAATTGAATAGAAATGAAAATTGTTCCTGTTTGCCTGCCCATTCCTGAAATAATATTAAAAGATACTTTAATTCTTTTCCCTTTTCCATGTAATACTTACGTTGCAGTTAAAACAAAGGGTGTTCTAGATACGTCCTGCATGGTGGGTGTTGGTGTGAAGTATTATAGACCGAAAGCAGAATCCCTAAAGTAGTAATTCACCTTTATTTTTACCCTTTAGCTAAAATTTAGCACTTTTAGCATCATACTCTGTAAAGTTACATTTTTAGATATACATTTAGGGACCTTTGAAGGCAGCTGAAAGGAATATGCTGTCTCTTTAGTATTATTATGGCCAGATTTCTTTCCCTTTGAAGCACAACAGGAAAGCTCAAGGTTACTTAGAATAAAAATGATACTTTATATCTCAGTTATTTATTGAATACTGAGGAAGTATCTTCTTTTAGGTTAGCAGGAAGCATAGTCTCTGCCCCACAAGCTCACTATTAAAGGAGAAAAAAAGGAAAAAATTAAGACATAGAAACTGCCAGTAGCAAAAATACATGTATAAAATATAGCAAAATATATGTATAAAACTCTTGGTGCTGTGAGGCTGTTTGCCCAAAGTGGAAATATCTCCCCTCTTGTACCTGCTCAGCAGACTCTCAACTTCTGGGTGGAAAGGAGTTATTCAAAGCTTTTGTGATGCCACTGTAGGGCTTCCATTCTTAAAAAAAAAAGAAGAAGAAGAAGAAGAAGAAAAAGAAAACAACTCATTTTTACCCCGTTGTTTCCTAGGCTATCAGTTAAGGACAGAAGTTGGAAAAGCTAGCACACAGAGTGGACACACACACACAAATGTATCTCTATATTCTTCTCCCACTTAGAATCCTTGTGATGACAAACGCCACAGAGACATTTGGTCTAAAGAAAAAACCTGTGATCGCTTACCAAAATTCTTGGTGATAGGACCTCAGAAAACTGGTGAGAACTTTTTGTGTTATGATTGACCAAACAGTGTAAAAATCTTGATGAACAATGAGTTCTTGTCACAATGATTTCATAAACCTCCTCTAAATGCTGATGAATGAATACCATACTTTTCTCAGACATAATCTTTATTTAGCTCAATAATGTACTTAAATGCTTGTCAAAGTGTTTTTTAAAGTGAAAAGAATTAAATAGATGTCACACAGTTTGAATATCCAGCAGCCATTTTGGTAGCACATGTTATTTTGTTTCCAAAGATCTTTTTTTCTAGATGAATTTCATCTGTGTATTTTTTAATTGAATTTTGAAATATTTTCTTTTTTTAACTGGCACATAATTGAACATATTTATGAATTTCATAGTGATGTTTAAATACATATAATGTATAGTGATCAGATCAGAGTAATTATCATATTCATCATCTAAACATTTATTATTTCTCTGTGTTTGGAAGATTCAGTATCCTTCAAGTAATTTGAAACTGTTTGTTATTGTTAACTGTAGTCATCCTACAGTAGTTTAGAACACTAGAACTTGTTCCTCCTATCTGGCTATAATTTTGTATCCTTTAACAAATTCATCCCTATCTCTTTCCCCCCTTGCTCTTCTCAGCCTCTAGTATCCTCTGTTATACTTTTTACTTCTGTGAGATCAACTTTTTTTTTTTTACCTTCCACATATGAATGAGAACATGTGGTGTTTAGTTTTCTGTGCCCAGCTTATTTCACTTAATATAATGAGCTTTGGTTCCATCTGTGTTGCCATGAATGACAGGATTTCATTCTTTTTCTTGGATGAATGGTATTGCACTGTGTAATATGTACCACGGTTTCTTTACCCATTCATCTGTTGTTAGACACCCAGGTTGGCTATCATGGGAGTACAGATATCTCTTTGATATACTACTGATTTCCTTTCTTTTGGATAAATGCCCAGTAGTGGGATTTCTGGATCATATGGTAGTTCTATTCATAATTTTCTGAAAAACCTCCATACTGTTCTCCCTAGAGGCTATACTGGTTTACATTCCCACCAGTGTAAATATGTTCCTATTTCTCCATATCCTCATCAGAATTTTTTTTTTCTTTTTGATAATAGCCATCCAAACTGGGATGAGATGATACCTCATTGTGGTTTTGATTTGCATTTCCCTGGTGATTAGTGATATTGAGTATTTTTTCATATATTTGTTGGCCATTGGTATATCTTTTTTGTTTTAGAAATGTCTGTTCAGATCATTGGCCCATTTTGCAGTTGGATTGTCTGGTTTTTCACTGTTGAGATGCTTCTGTTCCTTGCATATTCTGGATATTAATCCTCTGTAGATGAGTAATTTGCAAATATTTCCTACTATTCTGTAGGTTATCTTTTCATTCTGTTGATTGCTTCCTTTCCTGGGCAGAAGCTTTTTAGTTGACATAATACCTTTTATTTTTGCTTTTGTGCTTTTGCCTGTGCTTTTTAGTTCTTACTCATAAAATCTTTTCCAAGACCAGTGTCCTAAAGCATTTCCCCTGTGTTTTCTTCTAGTAGTTTAATAGTTTGGGTCTCATATTTAGGGCTTTGATCCATTCTGAATTGATTTTTTTTTTTTTTTTTTTTTTTTGAGACAGAGTCTCGCTTTGTTTCCCAGGCTAGAGTGAGTGCTGTGGCATCAGCCAAGCTCATAGCAACCTCAAACTCCTGGGCTCAAGCAATCCTGCTGCCTCAGCCTCCCAAGTAGCTGGGACTACAGGCATGTGCCATCATGCCTGGCTAATTTTTTCTATATATATTAGTTGGCCAATTAATTTCTTTGTATTTATAGTAGAGACAGGGTCTCACTTTTGTTCAGGCTGGTTCGAACTCCTGACCTCAAGCAATCCACCCACCTTGACCTCCCAGAGTGCTACTATTACAGGCGTGAGCCACTGCGCCCAGCCCTGAATTGATATTTTGATGTAGGCATATATTGCTATAAACTTGCCTTTACTACTGCTTTTGCTGTGTCCCATAGGTTTTGGTATGTTTCTATTTTCATTTTCTTAAGGAATTTTTAAATTTTCTTCTTAATTTCTTCATTGACTTATTGATCATTCAGAAGCATATTGTTTAATTTCCATGTATTTGTATCGTTTCTGAAGTTTCTATTATTATTGATTTCTAGTTTTATTTCATTATGGACAAATAATATACTTGATATGAGGTTTTTTTTTTTTTTTGAGACTTTTTTTGTGTCTTAACATGATCAATCCTGGAGAATGTTCCATATGCTGTTGAAAAAAATATGTATTCTGCAGCTGTTGGGTGAAATGTTCCATAAATGTGTGTTAGATACATTTGGTCTATGGTGCAGTTTAAAGCCAATATTTCGTTTTTAATTTTTATGCCTATATGATCTATCCAATCCTGAGAGTGAGGTCTTGAAGTCCCCACCTATTATTGTATTGGGGTCTGTCTCTCCTTTTAGATCTAATAACGTTTCCTTTATATATCCAGCTGCTTCAGTGTTGAGTGCACATATATTTACAATTGTTATACTCTCTTTCTGAATTTCTCTTTCATTATTATTCAATGTCCTTTCTTTGTTTCTTTTTACAGCTTTTGACTTGAAATCTGTTTTGTCTGATATAAGTGTAGCTACTCCTGCTTGCTTTGGTTTTCAAAGCATGGAATATCTTTTTCCATATTTTAACTTCAGTCTATGTGTGTCTTTAAAGGTGAGATGAGTTTCTTATAGGCAGCATATTGTTATGTTTTTTAATCTATTCAGCCAGTTGATATCTTTAAATGGGAATTTATTACATTTACATTCAGAGTTATTATTGATAGGTGAGGATTTACTCCTGCCATTTTATTGATTGTTTTCTGGTTGTTTTGTACATCCTATGTTCCTTACTCCTCTCTTATTGTCTAGTTTTGCAGTTGAGTAGTTTTCTGTAGTAACAAGATTTAATTTCTTTCTCTTTCTCCTTTGTGTATTAGCTCTACCAGTGAGTTTTATAGTTTTATATGTTTTCAAGACGGTAGTAATTGTCTTTTTTCTTCCACATGTAAGACTCCCTTGAGTGTTTCTTGTAAGTTTGGTTTAATAGAGATGTATTCCCTTAGTTTTTGCTTGTCTGTGAAAGATTTTATTTCTCCTTCATTTCTGAAGGATAGATTTTCTAGGTATAATATTCCTAGTTGACAGGGTTTTTTCTTTTTTCTTTTTTTTTTTCAGTACTTTAAATATATCATCACATTCTCTCCAAACCTGTAAGGTTTCTACTGAGAAATCCACTGTTAGTCTAATGGATATTCCCTTATACATGACTTGACACTTTTCTCTTGTTGGTTTAGACTTCTTTTGTCTTTGACTTTTGACAATTTTACTATAAAATGCCTCAAAGAGGTATTGTTTGTGTTGCATCTCTTTGGGTTTCTTTGAGCTTCCTGTACCTGGATGTCCATCTTTCTTCCAAGACTTAAAACATTTTCTGCTATTATGTCATTAAATGTATTTTCTACATCTTTGTCCTTTTCTTCTCCTTCTGGAATGCCTATGACATGAATATTTGTTTTCTTAATGATATCCCATAAATTCTGTAGGCTTTCTTCATTCTTTTACATTCTTTTTTCTTTTTTGTTATTCCAGAAGACCTATCTTCAAGTACAGAAATTCTTTCTTCTGCTTGATCTAGTTTAGTCTATTGTTTAAGTTCTCAGTTGTATTTTTTTATTTCATTCATTTAATTCTTCAGCTCTAGGATTTCCTTTTGGTTCTTTTTACATATCTATCTCTGTTGAATTTCTCATTTATATCATGAATTGTTCCCCTGATTTTATTGAGTTGTCTATCTGTATTGTTTTGCATCTCACTGAGTTTCTTTAAAAATATTATTTGGAATTCTTTTTCTGCCATTTCATATATTTCCTTATGATTAGGCTCTGTTACTGGGGAATTATTGTTTTCCTTTGGTGGTGTCATATTTCCTTACATTTCTACATTTTACATGTTCCTATGTTGATTTCTATGCATCTGCTGGAGAAGTCACTTCTTCCAATTTTATGGAGTAGGTTTTATAGGAAAGGACTTTTTCTTATGAATGGGTTTTTAAGTTTTGGTTTGGTGGGGTATATTGACTTTGGTTCTAAGTGGATGCAGTAGTTTCTGTGTAGTTTCTTCAGCTATAATTCATATTAGTGATGTCTGCAAGTGTCTCAGTGGCCTAGGCTAAGAGAATTTATGATGGTAGTGGTGCAACTTTGCCAGGGGTGGGCTTGGTGGCCTGTTTCTCAGGTTGGGGGTGCATCTGTGCACATGATGGGTCAGCCAACGTGGGGGCTGGCTTGATAGGGGCCACTGGGGCCAGAGAGCTTTACTCTGCCCAGGAGCATGAGCACACAATTGCTCAGCCAGCCTGAGGGCATGCATGCCAGGAGCAGCCTGTGGGTCTGTTTCTCAGACCCAGAATGTGAGCACATAGTTGCTGAGCTGGCCTGGGGGCATGTTTGCTAGAGACCACCCGTGGGCCTATTTATCAGGCCCAGGATGCAGTCTCACAGCTTCTCAGCTGGCCTGGGTACATGTCTGCTGAGAGTGACCCACAGGGCTATTTCCCAGACCCAGTACGTGGGCACACAGCTGCTCAGCTGGCCTGGGGGTGTATCTACCAGGGATTGCCCACAAGGCTGCTTCTGAGGCCTGGGATGTGGGCCAAGGCTGCTTGGTTGGCCTGGGGCATGCTTTCTAGGGGCAGCCCATGGGGCCGTTTCTTAGATTTGGAACACATTCTCTGTAAAAGTAGTTCTCTTAGGTTGCCATCTTCCTGATATAGAGTATATCTGTAAACTATTTCTTACAGAGATGACTTTTTTTTAAGTCTAAAAGATGTTTGACAAGCAGAATTCCTAGACATAGGAAGCTTTGTGCTAAGGAAGGTATTTATTCATACCCAGGAGAAATCTTTTTCACTTTTTATAAATTGGTGTGCAGTTTTTCTCTCAAAAACTTCTGTTTCTGTAAGAATTGGATTAAAATTAAGCCCAGTGGAAGCTTTAAAATGCCAGACATTCATGCCATTACCTGCATGATAAATTATTAGCAGCCCTTGGATTCTAGCTTCACAGAAAACAGCCATTTCAATCATATTATTTGCTATGGGGAATACTTTCCCTTTCCTCATCTCTCTAGAAATAACTGAGTAGAATGCTATACAATGTACATGGGGAGTTTAGTCTATTCATTTTTTCTTAGTCCCATTTGCAGATATCAATCTGAAAACAATAATAAATATGACAAATACTTTTCTTGCCCTTATTTATTTCACTCCTCCTTATCTATCTAAAGTCAAAAGGCAACTAGGAAAACATTTAAACTAAAGTGTTTTCAATGAACTTCCACTACCATCACATAACCGTGTCCTTACGGATCACATATTAAAGCTTGGTATTTCAGTTTGCTTCAGAAAGGCCTGCAGGGTAGACTTCCTCTCGTGTTGTACTGGATATACAGACACTTTAATATGATGATTAGGTGGCAGAATTATTACTTGTCATCTTAAACTCAATTGGGTTTCCAAATATTTGTTATAATTTAGATATGACATTTACCTTTGGAAGAGAATTTTTATGGAAATTGATTTTTTCCTAGTTTTATTGAGGTATATTTACATACAACAAAATTCACCCATTTTAAATGTATAATTTAATGAATTTTGGAAATTGTACATAGTTGTATAACCACTACTATTAATACATTCATGACATAGAACAGCTCTGTTACCCTAAAAAATTTCTCCATGGCCCTTTGCTGTCATCCTCCCCACCCCATGCCTACACATAGGAAACCACTTTTCTACCACTGTAATTTTGCCTTGTCTAGAACTTCATGTAAATGGAAGGATATAGTATGTAATCTTTGTGTTTGACTTCTTTCACTTAGCATAATACTTTTGAGATTCATCCATGCTGTTGTGTATATCAATATTTTGTGAAATAGATTTTTTAAGTAGATAAAAATATCTTCTCATATCAGTTATATGAGAATTAAATAGCTTCATTTTAACTACAGTTTTGTCAAAAGTATTTTTCTGGATAGTTTTGCAGAGACTTCTAGTTGTATGGATATTCAAATATTTTTGTATGTTGAGACTGACAAAACTATAAAAACTGAAGCTTTATTGGGTGGTTATTTAAATGTGTGCGTGTGATTATGTAGTTGAATTACCACTGGAAAAAAATATATGTAGGATGGTTTATATATAGGTAAAGACAGAATTCAGAAACCACAACAAATTTTTGACCACTGGTAAAACTTACATTATGCCTTTTACTGACTAGGCAAAGTAATTATATTGTATCCATCTTCTATTTTTGTCTAATTAATTCTGGTCATGAAGGCATGTTAACCAGCCTGAGCAACATAGCAAGACCCCACCTCTACAAAAAATAGAAAAATTAGCCGGGAATAGTGGCACATTCATGTGGTCCCAGCTACTTGAGAGGCTGAGGCAGGACGATTGCTCGAGTCCAGCCCAGGAGTTTGAGGTTGCAGCGAGCTAGCATGATGCCACTGCACACTAGCCTGGGCAACAGAGTGAGACCCTGTCCCAAAAAGGAGGGGGCTATTAAAAGCAAACAATATAATTTAATACAATTCTTAAAAATAAAACTCAGAAAAGAATGTTTTCAGTTGATCTAAAAAAGGAATTAATCTGTTTTCTTTTTTCACATTGTAATAGTCATGCTGCTTATTCCCACAAAGATTTAGTCTTTTCAGTTTAAAAAAAATGCCTTTTGCATTTTTTTAATTATATCTCAATTATATACTTAATATATTTATTTATTACAGTTATAAATTATATCTTAATAAAGTTATTATTTTTTGAAGTATCTTTCAAATATTCCAGTATGGCACTAATTAGGTACTTTCACATAGATTATCTCACTTGGCCCTCATAAAACCCTGATAGCTAAGTATTTTCTTCCCCACTAAACAGATGCAAAAACTAAGACTCAGGTTAAATAATTTTTGTTGAAATTCACACAGCTGGTAAGTATCAGAAATAAAACTCTTGATCCTAGAATTTACCTGACTCCAAAGAACATGCTATTTCTAGTTTTCTGTGGATTTTAAGTACTATAGCATATTGTTTCACATTTCTTCTAAGACAGCGATTCTCAAAGGATGGTAATCAGACCAGCAGGTTAAGCATTACCAGAGAACTTGTTAGAAGTACAAATTCTTAGATCAGACCATAGACCTGCTAAATGAGAAATTCTGGGATAGAGCCCAGCTGTCTGTGTTTTAACAAGCCCTCCTGGTAAATCTGATATGTGCTAAAGTTTGAGGACCACTGTTGTAAGTCAAGCTTGTGAAGAACATTTTTACTGTGTATATCATAGATTACTACGTTTCATGCCCTATAGTAATCTATGATTGTAGATAAATTGTTCGTTGTTTAGCTCAGATGTCATCTAGGAACACTGCCTCTTTCATTTTTAGACAATATTGCTGTTGACAGAGTTACTTTAACTATTTTTCTATTGTATAGGTATGGTGAATTTAATCATGATACCAAAGAAAGCTTACCGGAGATATAAGAAAATTCAAAACTTTGTACAAATGGCAACATAATATTATTATAAGCAAAATTAGAATAATACTTTCTCCAAGTGAGAGAAATAGTATAAGGCCACATGTGATTACTATTGCTAGCTATTGATCTGGAATGCAATTAACAGGTCCCGCTCTGCAGATTGTATAATAGTGGAAACTACATTAGAGCAGAGAGGTAGAAACCAGAGGGTGTATTTCTCTCTTAGGAGTACTGAACACATAGAAATATTTTGATATTATGATCTTATAAACACAGTCACAGTTGCAAGTGCATGGTTAAATCTTTAACAAACTGAACCCAAACTGCCTTTTTCTTGCAGCAGTCTGACTAAACTGTATACTTTACCTCCTAATAAATCTTTAGGTTTATAAAACACTAATTTTATAGTTTCCGATGTTGCTCGCTTTAAAAAAAAAAAAATCACAGCTTTACTCCCAAATAGTCACAGATCTATATGGGTACTTGTGATATGCCATTGTCTTTCCAATAAAATGCAAATTTCATAAAGTATGTCACTAAGGAAGGGTACCACTTTTTTTCAAATTTAGCAATTTAAACAATTTTTCACTACCTTTTATAAGCATATAAGTACATTCACACTTAAGCAAACTTGTTGAAAGATTAAATTCTGCCTTGAGTTTAATTGGCTTCCCTAGGGTTCAGGAAGAACTTTATAGGAAAACCCAAGTCTCCATTTGGTAATGTAATATATGAAACAATGATACATTTCATTTATGTAAGACTTCATTAATGTCAAAATGTCTTCAGGTACATTATGTCTTTTCATCCTCAGAGAAAACCTACAAAATAACCAAGGCAGTTGATTTTCCATTAGGAGCGTGGAGACAAAGAGAAGCTAAAAGGCAAAGGCACAGACCACATCAGTGATTGAGCTGAGACCAACAGCCAGTTCTCTCCATCCCCCAGCGGGCCTCTCCACCTCACACCACACTGTCCCCTGTCGTAGAATCTGCTGCTTTTAGAAAGCTGGTTATCTATTCAGTTTAATTCAAGACGTACTTGTAACAAATCTGATTGGATCATTGTAATATTTTATTTATTAATGACTTTGAAGTACTAATAGCAGGAAATTGTATTTAATTAACTTCTAAACCTCTGTTGTCTTTTCAGGTACCACTGCTCTGTACTTGTTCCTGGTTATGCATCCTTCCATCCTTAGTAACTCCCCCAGCCCAAAAACCTTTGAGGAGGTACAGTTCTTTAATAGAAATAACTACCACAGGGGGATTGATTGGTAAGATGGGTTATTAGTATAAATCTAAAAGTCTATGTACTGTGCACAGTATAAACTTAGCACTAATATTTAGTAACATATAAGTTTGTAGCCACAAATGTAAGTTACCCTCTGTGCCTTGGAAATTGACTGAATAACATGAAAGAGCTCAGAAATTACTTATAACAAACTTTTCTCAGGTTATGAAGGGATTTCTTGACTCAAGAGAACCACATGTAATTTCAGTTGGCATTTATTATCTTTATTGGTAATTACAGATATGAAGTTGGAGAAGTAGGATAGTACCCAGGAATGTCATTTGTCTCTACTCATAAGAAAACACTTTCATGTCTTTCTCTTCTTGTGTACTTTTCATTAAGTGATGCTATAGCCCATATATATATAATTTTCTATTTTACTTTGATATAAGGGACAAAAAATAAGTAAATAGAACTAGAAATGTGTGTATATTTCATGAATAATCAAAGCTATAAAAAAGTTATCAACAATATACAAAATTTAATTTTTTGCCTTTGAATTGAAATTAGAAATATATCAGCCATCTGAAGAAAACAGTTAAACTAAAAAGTGAAAATGTCAGATATACACAAAATATAATAATGTAGAAATAGACAGTACAAATTAACATGTTAATCATAAAATGTATCTATAGGTCTTGCTATTAAGGTATAATACTGGACAGAGAGTGGTATAAAAGTGGAATGCTCATAATAATTCTAGAGCCTAAACATAAACATTTTGCATGTATTTTAGCATAAAGAATCATGTATGTTAAGCTGTTGTCAAATTGTATGATCTCAGTTTTGTAAGTATCAACTCCCTCAAAAGTTGCTTGTGAATAGTCCAGATGGAAAGATAAAGAAATAGATTGAATATAAATCGAGTATAAATTGTGCACCTACTAGGATTTACATATATTCTAATTGTTCTATATTTCACTGCCAGTTCTTCAGTACAGGGTTTGATATTGATTAATTGTGTGGAGCTAAATAACAGCTGGGAAAATCAAGAAACCATCAACTATTTCAGCTGCTATCTGACCACTGACTCAAATGAATATGCTAGTGTAATATATAGTAGAATAAAATGATGTTAACATTAGGAATAAATGGAGTGATTAAAAACTACTTTGCAAGTGAACAGGAATGCAATACTCAGATTCCCTGGGACTTAAGAATAACTGTGGTAACAATTTTTTCATCATAAATTTCTCAAAAAATTTTTTGATCATCATGTGTATGGCCACTATAATAAAGAAAGGGTCTTTAGCAGTTTACGAAGAGATAATATAAATAAAGGCTAAAGAGCAATAAAATATTTTAAATATAACTCACTAAAAACATCCCAAATACAAATATTTTTGATTGACAAATTATATATTTATAAAAGGCAATTAACGCAAATAACAAATAATAGTAACTGCAAATGTCAACCTATAGAAATAACTATAGCTTTGCTTTCAATGACATCAATATTAACATATCCCAGTCCTCAGACTGGCCTTGCCTCTCTCTGAGACTCAAGCACCTCAGCTGTCCCTCTGGGACCATGGTGCTGCAAGACTGAAGATTATGTGTCCCAGAGTCCCAGGGTCATTTGAAGAATTAACCCAGGCATGGTCAGTTAATCTAACTGCATGGATCTGCTTTCTGGAGAACTGGATAAAACCAGCAGTCTATGCACAGGCTTACGGCACAAGCAATGTAGGGCAGATGAAAATTAGAAAACTTTATCTGTGACAAAATAGTCAACATTTGCAATCAGAAGATCTAAGAAAAATGCTTGACTCATGCATACATGTAAGTTTTATGTTTTATGGTTTGGTCTTTTTTTTTTTTTTTTAATAGGGGAGTTAATACAGTTGTAGGGTCTTTTTTTTTTAAGAGACAAAGTCTCACTGTGTCGCCCAGGCTGGAGTGCAGTGGCACAGTCATAGCTCAGTGCAGCCTCAGGATCCCGGGCTCAAGGGATCCTCCTGCCTTGGCCTCCCAAGTAGCTGGGACTACAGGCATGTGCCACCGCAGTCGGCTATTTTTTTTTTTTAGAGTCGAGGTCTTACTATGTTGCCAGGCTGGTCTCAAACTCCTGGCCTCAATTGACCCTCCCACTTCAGCCTTCCAAAGTGCTGAAATTACAGATGTAGGCCACCACTCCAGCCTGGTCTTACTATTTTTAAGTAAGGATGTAGTGGAGAGCTGGAGTGGTATGTGGAGAGCCATAAAATCCTGTTAGCATTTAGAACCTCTAAACATCTTCATCTGGCTTTGAGTAAAATCGATGAGAAATGCTCAGGGTCAACTCAAATAAATGGTGGGGTGTTGCAAAAAATCACATCTTTCAGGTAAAAGCAAAAATGCCAAAGTGTTATATTTTATGGATGTAGCAAAGCTTAAGGGTGAGGCAGGTGTTCACTTTTAACCCCCAAATAGTTAAACCACTCTGGAGCTTCCAGGTCCCACCCTGGAAATATGAACCTGAATTCCTTTTATTTACTTGTTTGTTCATCATTTTTCAAGTGCCTGTGAGGCATAGCCACAATGAATGTTACAGATGCACAGGCGAACAAGAACTGGACCTGCCTTCTCTGAGCCTCTGGGGACAGGCCAGATCAACACACTGTAGGTCCAAGATCCAGACCTGCTTAAAGTCAAAACCTAAACTTTTCCAGATATGAAAGACTTTTAGAAAGATGGGGTGGATTTTAGAGGCTAAAATCTATGCCCTTTGTGTGTGTGTTTGTGTGGTTTTTGAAGCCTTTTTCATAGCAAGCAAGCTTGAGACAAGCCTGGACCAAAGAGGATGCCACTAGTGACCAGACACTCAGGGTAACCTCAGCACCCTGGAACCAGTGTGAGTCTCTAAACAAGGACCCTAAAATTCGGCACTTTCTATAAATGGAATGTACACCAGAACAGGTAGCAGATCAAACTATCCAAAAACTTCTGTGTATCTCTTTCCTCCAAGAGGATGCCAGAATTACCTATCACCAACAAGGCAATTCCCAGAAAACATAAAAGGATTTCTTTACTGCTCTGAGTCTCAAGACATCACTTCGTTACACCAGCTAAACTTTGCAATGTGTTGACAACTGGATCCTACTGGATCCTACTTTATCATGCGAGATGACATGATCTGGCAATAGAAAGTCTGTGATTGTCTCGTGTGATCTTTCAGTCAAAAGAAAACAACACACTGTAAAAAAGAAGTCATTGCATGACTGCCATTGACTCTTTTGTTCAGTAATTATTGAACCACCTTGCTTTGGTATCCCAGAGTCATGGTGGCTTACGAATTGAAGAGGGTGGCAGTGGGGCCTGAGGCCATCATTATAAAATGTAAGAATCCCTAGAAGTTATATTTTTATGGTCTCTCTAAAAAAGCATTTTTCCTCTAAAAGGCATCCTTTAGTGCTTCAGAAATAAATCTATTATTATGTGCTGCATTAGTTATGCTACATTAGTTATGACAACTTTTATAAAGGTGGAACATTAAACAAAATCCTACATTGCAGCTCTTGACCCTACATGTGTCCCTGCATTTACCCCACTGATGATTTGAATTTTCACTTAAGGATGCAGGGCCTGACATTGGGATTTTATACTTGGAAATATGTATATACTTTTTAGACTTTTCTTACAACTATTCTAAAGAAGGACATAAGTAATTCTATATGAAAAAAATTAAGCAAATAGGCAATATTTATACCAGATATGTTCTGCACTTTGACACTATGTGGTTAAACAGAACATCACCACAACACATTAGTGGGAATGAAATTATTCTACTTGTGATCAACCAACAATGTTTGTCTAAATCCTCGTAAGATGTCTTTGAACTCAACATCTATGAATAATTTGTTTTGATAAAATTTTCTTTTCCAGTACTTATATTTTTCTCTGTACAGTATTTCTGCATTTAGATACATTTTAAATAGTTAGGCTGCTGATTGCTGCAGTTTGATCACTCTGTGTCTGCATTTTTGTTATCTCTGTATCTTTTATCCTGATGTTAAGCAAAACAAACTGTATTTAGAATGTATTTCAAAATGTATTTAGAAAAACATCTTCAAAATACATTATTAGTGTTCTGGATATTTTCCCCTTGCTAACAAAGAGGGACAAATCCCCCAAGGAAAAGGTTTTTTGTTTAGGAGACAAATGAATTTGTGGGATGCCTGTAACGTCTTCAGTCACCAGGATATGAGTATAAAACAGAGTCTTATTTTGAGAAAAATATTCCTCTTCTAGGTATATGGATTTCTTCCCAATCCCATCGAATGTCACCACTGACTTCTTGTTTGAGAAGAGTGCCAATTACTTCCACTCAGAGGAAGCCCCTAAAAGAGCAGCTTCTCTGGTTCCCAAAGCCAAGATCATCACCATCCTCATTGACCCTTCAGACCGGGCATACTCCTGGTACCAGGTAAGGACAATACAGATAGAATCCAACAGATAGAAGGGGAGTATGGACAGGGGAGGATTGCTTTTAGCAACAGTCACCACCTCAGGTTTTAACAAAAGAGGAGATCTGCTAGTTGTTTGATATTTTCTCTATATTTTCATGGAGAAACTTTCTCCATTAAGTTTTTGTCCATTTTTAATCAATTTATTTAATAAAATTTGTTAATGCAATTAAGAAATTAAAATATAATAAAATATTATGTGCATGTATACCTATACATCTGCATTTTAAAAGCAAATGTTATAATAATTTTAAATGATTATGTTTCATCTAATACACGTGTATTCTATAAAGGGCCAGATAGCAAAAATGTCAAGTTCTGTGGGTTCTATGGTGTCTGTTGCAACTCTATCTTTATATTTTGAAAGAAGCCATAATTATGTAAATGAATGAATATAGTTGTGTTCCAGTAAAACAGTATTCATAAAAACAGATGGTAGGCCACAGATTGCTGACCCTGGCTATAACAGAGTTTAAATAACTGTTTCCTATTAAAAAAAAAAAAAAACTCAGTGGCCAAGCAAATATAAGAGTTCTTCATCCCTGAAAGCGCAACCTGTCTACACCTGTTCTAAGCCTCCTTCTCATCTACTCATTGCCACTGTGTTTCTGATGTTGGTTAGAAGCTAGCACTGTTACTATCACTTTGAAATAATTTAACAGACTCTAGTAATAATACTTATATATCATATACATTTTACTTCAATATATCATTAAAAATGATATCTAGGAAAAAAAAGTTAAAACCTGTCCCAGTGATATTTTGATCAACAAATGGAACAGTTCAATAAAAAAACAGCCAAAATTATACATTAAACAGTAACAAAATTAAGAGTCAATGTTTTTAGTCCTAGGGCCCTTAGTTATCATTTCTCAGTTTTATAATTTAAAAAGCACTTTCCTAGTGTTCATGTGTTCATCTATTCATAAATAATTTAAATGACTACCATGTGCCAAAGTGTGATTTGAAAATGAACTGATAAATGCGGATGCTACACTTGACATTACTTTCAGTCTAATTGGAGAAATATGTCTAAATAAGCATATAAATGAGTGATGAGTGGTGGACAGACACATTCAGAGTGATAAAGCCCATCTGATAAAGACCCCCAGGGAGAGCAGCCTTCCTAACTGGCTGCCCCAGAGGAGCCCAAACACCAGAACTGCTGGGCATTTCCCTAAAGAAGGGAAGGATTTGTAAAGGGGGAAATTTAGGTAAAATTAAAATGAAGAAGTGTTTTGAGAGGTACAAGGCAGAGCTGTGTGTAAAGGAGTTATCAGCAAGTCAGGGCTGAAAAACAGACTAAGGGTCCTATTTCCTTGGAAACTTTAAAGTTAAGATAAATGTGGACCAGAAAAAACCTCATATAGCCAAAGCAATCTTAAGTAAAAAGAACAAACTGGGAGGCATCAGTCTTCCTGACTTCAAGCTGTACTATAAAGCAATAATAATTAAATCAGCATGGTATTCGCACAAGAACAGAAGTATTGATATTTGGAATAGGACTGAGATTCCAGAGATGAAACCATCTGCATATGGTAACCTAATCTTTGATAAAGCAGACAAAAATATACAATGAGGAAAAGAATCTTTCTTCAATAAATGGTGCTGGGAAAACTGGATAGCTACATGCAGAAGAATGAATCTGTATCCCTACCTCTCACCTCTCACAAAAGTCCACTCAAGATGGATAACAGACTTAAACCTAAGGCATGAAACCTTAAGGATCCTAGAAGAAGATGTTGGGAAAACCCTTTCACACATTGGTCTAGGCAAAGAATTCTTGAAGAGGACTCCCAAAGCAATCACTGCAGCAACAAAAATAAACAAATGGGATCTGATAAAATTAAAAAGCTTCTGCACAACCAAGGAAACTATCAGTAGAGCAAATAGACAACCTACAGAATGGGAGAAAATATTTGCTCTCTATACTTCTGATAAAGGTCTGATAACAAGAATCTATCTAGAACTCAAAAGAATTGACAAGAAAAAATCAAACAACCCCATCAATAAATGGGCAACAGAAACTTTTCCAAGGAAGACAGAATAATGGCCAGCAAACATATTAAAAAATGCTCAACATCACTAATCATTAGAGAAATGCAAATCAAAACACAACGAGATATCACCTAACCCCAGTGAGATTGGCTTGTATCAAAAAATCCCAAAACAACAAATGCTGGCAAGGATGTGGAGAGATAGGAACACTCCGTACTGCTGGTGGGACTTCAAATTAGTACAACCTTTGTGGAAAAGAATTTGGAGATATCTCAAAGAGCTAACAATAGAAATACCATTGGACCCAGCAATAGCATTATTAGGCATCTACCCAAAAGAGCATAAGACATTCTATTATAAAGACATGTGCACCCAAATGTTTATGGCAGCACAATTCACTATTGCAAGAATGTGGAAACAACCCAAGTATCCGTCAATTCATGGCTGAATAATTAAAATTTGGTATATGTTTACAATGGAAAATTACTCAATTATAAGAAACAACAGTGATCTAGCACTGCTTATATTATCCTGGATTGAGCTTAAACCCATTATCCAAAGTGAGGTGACACAAGATCAGAATAATGGGCTCCACATGTACTCACCATCAAATTGGCACTGACTGATTGACACTATGATGCTCAAAGGGTGGTGGTGTTCACCAAGGATTCGGGTTGGGGGGGTGGACCCACATCTGAGGGATGTGGTGAGCACTGTGGAGGGGAAGGGCATACCTCTAAGGCTTGCTAGGGAGAGGCAAAGATATAAAATGTAACCAAAATGTTAAAAAAAAAAAATTTATTGGGTGTGGGGCAGGTGGGAGGGAGGAGGAGGGGATGAATATTTACATACATAGTGAGTGGTCTGGGGGATGGACATGCTTGAAGCTCTGACTGGAGGGGGGAGGGGAGGCAAGGGCAATGTACGTAACCTTAACGTTTACACCCCCATAATATGCTGAAAGAAAAAGAAAGAAAAGATAAATGTGGGATGTTGTGTGTACAAAAATTCCTCATCTGAAATTTGCAAGTGGGTTGAATATAAGGCTACTTCTCCATGTTAAAGGGACCCATGCAGCTCACACCCTCCAGGCAAGAATGGGATGTTTCATTCTCACTGATAATGATTTTAAACAGCTAAGTCCTGGACAGTTACGATGTTAGAGAATAAACGTTCTCAGCACTGAGTCCTTTTGTTATTTAACAAAAGCAGTTTTTCCAGATTCACAAGAGGAGGAATAGATTGTCAGGAAAGGTCATACAAAGCAGATGATATCTTAGAGAGGCATACTGATAATAATCTGCATAATAGGATAGAGAGACACCCTCCAAAGCTGAGATCCAGAGAATCCCACAATTCCATACTAATCATTCGTGCAAAACCTGGAACCATCTTTTAAATCAAAATATACAGCAAACTGTAAATTGACTGATTTGATTTTGCACCTTTTACCTTTTCCACCAGGTATCTGGAGAAAAAAGAAATAAACCTTAATTGACTCAAAGAGAAAGGAGAAAATTGGAGCTTGGCAACCACTTAGCCCCTGAAAAATAGAGAATTTACAGAAAAAGAAGGTTTTAAGGCTGCAAGCTAACAAAATGTCCTAAATATTACAAACAGATCACAGTGGCAAAATTCAGGCTTTAACGAAGTCTAGTAGAGTTTGTAGTACAGTAATTTGACTCTCAAGTGTAGAAAATTTGCTATTCAACCAGATGTAGTAAACATCCACAAACCCACTAAGGCTGAATATTTATTGGTCAATTTAAGGAAAAGGTGATTTCCTTAAGCCCATGGGCCTGAGCCTGTGCCATTATGAAACACTTTCCTATTTGGACTGCTGCTTTCTGCATTTTCTGCACAATAAATGACTGATTCACCGCAAAGGTTACCATTAAATAAAACAATCTTGGCTTTCAGATGCTAGGGTAATGTATGATAAAAGCTGTGGATTTCAGATAATGTACATGCCAGAGTTTTTAGTAGTTTCTCCATTTAAAATAGCTGATAGGGCTTTTCTAATCTAAAACTGCATTACTAGATAGGGGAGCAGAAGGCAGAACTAGCAGTGTGCTTGTATCATGGCTATTCACTGGACGTGATAAATGGTTTGTGTATGGGCTGCAAAGCGGACATTAATACAGCTTTGAAAAGTTTCCTTTCAGAATAAAAGGTACACGCTAAGGAAACAACTCAGTAAAGCCGGCTAAGGAATCCTATCGATAAGAATTCAACTTCTACCAAATAAGTTCTCAAAAATTTACTCTCATCAGGGTCATAATTTTCAGTCCTGATGCTCCAAGCAAACAGTTTCATCCGTTATTAACCTTAAAATAAATAACTCTTCAGCAGTGAGGCAGTCTTTTCTTTAGCTTTGAGACACGTCGTGAAGATTGATTTTTAATTATTTATGCCTGTGCTTCAGGTTGTTTAATTATCCACCTTTTCATCATAGCATCAGCGATCACATGAAGACCCTGCAGCTCTAAAGTTTAGCTTCTACGAAGTGATCTCAGCTGGGCCCCATGCACCTTCGGAACTGAGAGCCCTGCAGAAGAGATGTCTGGTTCCGGGGTGGTACGCCAGAGAGAGATATAACATGCGGATGCTACACTTGACATACTTTCAGTCTAATTGGAAAATATGTCTAAATAAGCATATAAATGAGTGATGAGTGGTGGACAGACACATTCAGAGTGATAAAGCCATCTGATAAAGACCCCAGGGAGAGCAGCCTTCCTAACTGGCTGCCCCAGAGGAGCCCAAACACCAGAACTGCTGGGCATTTCCCTAAAGAAGGGAAGGATTTGTAAAGGGGAAATTTAGGTAAAATTAAAATGAAGAAGTGTTTGAGAGGTACAAGGCAGAGCTGTGTGTAAAGGAGTTATCAGCAAGTCAGGGCTGAAAAACAGACTAAGGGTCCTATTTCCTTGGAAACTTTAAAGTTAAGATAAATGTGGACCAGAAAAAACCTCATATAGCCAAAGCAATCTTAAGTAAAAAGAACAAACTGGGAGGCATCAGTCTTCCTGACTTCAAGCTGTACTATAAAGCAATAATAATTAAATCAGCATGGTATTCGCACAAGAACAGAAGTATTGATATTTGGAATAGGACTGAGATTCCAGAGATGAAACCATCTGCATATGGTAACCTAATCTTTGATAAAGCAGACAAAATATACAATGGGAAAAGAATCTTTCTTCAATAAATGGTGCTGGGAAAACTGGATAGCTACATGCAGAAGAATGAATCTGTATCCCTACCTCTCACCTCTCACAAAAGTCCACTCAAGATGGATAACAGACTTAAACCTAAGGCATGAAACCTTAAGGATCCTAGAAGAAGATGTTGGGAAAACCCTTTCACACATTGGTCTAGGCAAAGATTCTTGAAGAGGACTCCCAAAGCAATCACTGCAGCAACAAAAATAAACAAATGGGATCTGATAAAATTAAAAAGCTTCTGCACAACCAAGGAAACTATCAGTAGAGCAAATAGACAACTACAGAATGGAGAAAATATTTGCTCTCTATACTTCTGATAAAGGTCTGATAACAAGAATCTATCTAGAACTCAAAAGAATTGACAAGAAAAATCAAACAACCCATCAATAAATGGGCAACAGAAACTTTTCCAAGGAAGACAGAATAATGGCCAGCAAACATATTAAAAAATGCTCAACATCACTAATCATTAGAGAAATGCAAATCAAACCACAACGAGATATCACTAACCCAGTGAGATTGGCTTGTATCAAAAAATCCCAAAACACAAATGCTGGCAAGGATGTGGAGAGATAGGAACACTCCGTACTGCTGGTGGACTTCAAATTAGTACAACTTTGTGGAAAAGAATTTGGAGATATCTCAAAGAGCTAACAATAGAAATACCATTGGACCCAGCAATAGCATTATTAGGCATCTACCCAAAAGAGCATAAGACATTCTATTATAAAGACATGTGCACCCAAATGTTTATGGCAGCACAATTCACTATTGCAAGAATGTGGAAACAACCCAAGTATCCGTCAATTCATGGCTGAATAATTAAAATTTGGTATATGTTTACAATGGAAAATTACTCAATTATAAAGAAACAACAGTGATCTAGCACTGCTTATATTATCCTGGATTGAGCTTAAACCCATTATCCAAAGTGAGGTGACACAAGATCAGAATAATGGGCTCCACATGTACTCACCATCAAATTGGCACTGACGGATTGACACTATGATGCTCAAAGGTGGTGGTGTTCACCAAGGATTCGGGTTGGGGGGTGACCCACATCTGAGGGATGTGGTGAGCACTGTGGAGGGGAAGGGCATACCTCTAAGGCTTGCTAGGGAGAGCAAAGATATAAAATGTAACCAAAATGTTAAAAAAAAAATTTATTGGGTGTGGGCAGGTGGGAGGGAGGAGGAGGGATGAATATTACATACATAGTGAGTGGTCTGGGGATGGACATGCTGAAGCTCAGACTGGAGGGGGAGGGAGCAAGGGCAATGTACGTAACCTTAACGTTTACACCCCATAATATGCTGAAAGAAAAAAAGAAAGATAAATGTGGGATGTTGTGTGTACAAAAATTCCTCATCTGAAATTTGCAAGTGGGTTGAATATAAGGCTACTTCTCCATGTTAAAGGGACCCATGCAGCTCACACCCTCCAGGCAAGAATGGGATGTTTCATTCTCACTGATAATGATTTTAAACAGCTAAGTCCTGGACAGTTACGATGTTAGAGAATAAACGTTCTCAGCACTGAGTCCTTTTGTTATTTAACAAAAGCAGTTTTTCCAGATTCACAAGAGGAGGAATAGATTGTCAGGAAAGGTCATACAAAGCAGATGATATCTTAGAGAGGCATACTGATAATAATCTGCATAATAGGATAGAGAGACACCCTCCAAAGCTGAGATCCTGAGAATCCCACAATTCCATACTAATCATTCGTGCAAAACCTGGAACCATCTTTTAAATCAAAATATACAGCAAACTGTAAATTGACTGATTTGATTTTGCACCTTTTACCTTTTCCACCAGGTATCTGGAGAAAAAAGAAATAAACCTTAATTGACTCAAAGAGAAAGGAGAAAATTGGAGCTTGGCAACCACTTAGCCCCTGAAAAATAGAGAATTTACAGAAAAAGAAGGTTTTAAGGCTGCAAGCTAACAAAATGTCCTAAATATTACAAACAGATCACAGTGGCAAAATTCAGGCTTTAACGAAGTCTAGTAGAGTTTGTAGTACAGTAATTTGACTCTCAAGTGTAGAAAATTGCTATTCAACCAGATGTAGTAAACATCCACAAAACCCACTAAGGCTGAATATTTATTGGTCAATTTAAGGAAAAGGTGATTTCCTTAAGCCCATGGGCCTGAGCCTGTGCCATTATGAACACTTTCCTATTTGGACTGCTGCTTTCTGCATTTTCTGCACAATAAATGACTGATCACCGCAAAGGTTACCATTAAATAAACAATCTTGGCTTTCAGATGCTAGGGTAATGTATGATAAAAGCTGTGGATTTCAGATAATGTACATGCCAGAGTTTTAGTAGTTTCTCCATTTAAAATAGCTGATAGGGCTTTTCTAATCTAAAACTGCATTACTAGATAGGGGAGCAGAAGGCAGAACTAGCAGTGTGCTTGTATCATGGCTATTCACTGGACGTGATAAATGGTTTGTGTATGGGCTGCAAAGCGGACATTAATACAGCTTTGAAATTTCCTTTCAGAATAAAAGGTACACGCTAAGGAAACAACTCAGTAAAGCTGGCTAAGGAATCCTATCGATAAGAATTCAACTTCTACCAAATAAGTTCTCAAAAATTTACTCTCATCAGGTCATAATTTTCAATCCTGATGCTCCAAGCAAACAGTTTTCATCGTTATTAACCTTAAAATAAATAACTCTTCAGCAGTGAGGCAGTCTTTTCTTTAGCTTTGATACACGTCGTGAAGATTGATTTTTAATTATTTTGCCTGTGCTGCAGGTGTTAATTATCCACCTTTCATCATAGCATCAGCGATCACATGAAGACCTTGCAGCTCTAAAGTTTAGCTTTCTACGAAGTGATCTCAGCTGGCCCCATGCACCTTCGGAGCTGAGAGCCCTGCAGAAGAGATGTCTGGTTCCGGGGTGGTAACGCAGCCACATCGAGAGATGGCCTTTGTTATTTCCCCCCTTTCAGGTATGGAGTAGTGATAACTTACATCATGTGACAGTGTCATTAAGTTGATGACTTTGCCTCAAGGATAAAGTTTTTACTCATTAAAACATTACTAGCTTTTACTCTTTCATTGTAAAAAATGAAACCGTGGCAGAGAAAAATAAATAGCAGGGGTAGAAAATTGTTTAATTTTCTAAGAGTATTTGAGGATAATTCTCCCTGCTCTGTTTTCTAGTGCATACCTTTCCTGGTTGTAAAGAGCTTCAAAAGCCTTAGATCCCTGATTCATATTCTGAGATGAATGGAGCTTGAAAGAGAACCCCTTAACCAAACCAGACAAATGTTGTTTGCTTAATTAAGTACCATTATTTCCCTATTGAACCACCTTGTCCTATGTTTGTCTCAGTTCTCTTGCTTCTCTCTGTGCCTGGTGTTGACCTAGATCACAAACCAACCCTAAGCAATCCAGTGACATCAGATACAGGGTGTACCTGTGCATCTAGAACCATGCTGTCCAGTGTTACAGACACTACCACGTATGGCTATTTAAAATTATGCTAAAAATTAAAAATTCAGTCCCTCAATTGCATTAGCCACATTCCAAATGCTGAGTAGCTACAACTTAAACCGGCAGCTGTAGAGCTTGTCCATGACCATAGAAGGCCCTGTGGAACAGTGCTGTCTGGACTAGAGAGGAACATTGGAGAAGAAGTGTGGGCAGGAGCTGCACTCCAGGCTCTGTGCCTTCCGTCGTGGCCTCTGTCGCGTGTCTCGCTGGTCCAGCCTCGCCTGAGTGACAAGCACATTCTCCCTGCTTGAGGAATTCTGTCCATGTTCAGGTCCTCTGGGAGTCTTATACCTTCTTCTGAATGTGATATCAAAATGTTTCTTCAGACCTCACCGTGCTGCTCCCGAGTGGCACTGTGGAGGGCACAGCCTCGATGTGTCGCCCTGGGCCGGGCGCCTTCCTTCCTCTTGCACAGCGCTGCTCCCAGCTCAAGTGGTGGAATCATTGCTTTGCTTTTAAACTTGGTTTCCATCTGTGATTTCGTGTCCCATTTCTAAGCTTCCTTGGTCCTCTCAACTGCCTTTTTTTGTTTCATAATGTTTATAGACTTATCAGATTACAAAGCATGAATGCACTCAGTTGGCATGATTTATTTCTTGTTCCGGGTCGTGAGTGAGGATGACCTATTTACTTACGTCTAACGACGCATGCACCCCCTCAGGACGCGTCTCTCGCAGAATGAGTTCAGAGTACAGAAATGTTTCATTATACAGTTAACATGTCTTTTTCAATGTGCACTGGTTTTGTTTTTTTTTTTATTTCTTTGGTAATTTAGTTGCTGATTATTGATGGCAACAGCTAAGAACTGATCCTGCTACAGTGATGGATGAAGTACAGAAGTTTCTAGGAGTCTCCCCTCATTATAATTACTCGGAAGCTTTAACGTAAGTTTACATTCTAATTAGTTTATTGACATTTCAGGAGAAAACTTATTTTAGAGAATTGTAGTTTGGCGATGCAATTTTTTAGGGTTAGCTTTTCTTCATATACTGATTATTTTTCGATTTGACATTAATTACTTGGGAAAGAACATTTCAACGATGTGCCAAAGAAATGGCTAAATTCTGTTGATTCCTAATTGTGCAAAGATGTAAGTATATATACAATGAAAAAAAACAAACAAATAATTGTGCAAAGATTTCCCTTGAAAGGAAATTGAGAAACAAAACAGTTGTGAATCTTTAAAAACCTTAAAAGAGGAAGTAGGAACAGGTGATTAACTTAGGAGTTTAGGAACTCACTCTTCTCTCTTTGTGCAATTTTCAGAAACAATGTCATACAGAAAAAAAAAAAATAGCCCACCTGGTGACTGAGTGACAGAGATGTATGTGCTCTTAAACACACTTCCGGTTTTGCTTCTCTGTCTTTACCCATTATAAGTGTCCCCAGTCACCTCTCCTCGAGAGGCCTTGGCAGTTACAGCACTGGTTTGGTTTGTTGGTTGGTTTGTATGGTTTTTGCTGGTTTCCTCTGATCTTCTTAGGCAGTTGACTCCCTAGGGCTGGGACCCAGGGAGAGGCCAGAGGGGTGCTGGGTTCAAAGAGAGCTCTCACTCTCAGGCCTCACACACCACGCTCCTCTCTTACCTCACCTACCTCTCACTCCAGGCTTCATTTAGTATTTTTAAATAAGACTTCCATCTTACTCTGTCCTTTGTAATGGTTCACAATCAGATCTATGAAGGTTATGTGTATTTAGAACAACTGGAAGATAGTGGAATGGGCCACAGACCTGACTCTCACTATAAAAAAATTTTTTTAAATCTTAGGCTAATGGCTGAGCCTTAAAGAAACTGACAAAGACTATATTATGGAATTCTTCATTGTATTTTAGTGTAAAACTCAGTTCCATAGATCAACTGGGTTTCCCTTTCTTTAAATACTCTTTATCCTATTTCATTTAGAAAGTGAGAGGCAGGTTCTTTTACCTTTCAGCATCCTTACAGTAAAGATTGCAGAAAAATATCAATCTACTTATGTCTTGCACAAATCATACGTAGAGGCACATGAGAGGGACACTTTGGTTTAGAGGGCAAGGGAGTAGGTGGAACTCTGCAGTTTTGAGCTTCCTTCCTGAGAATCATTCACTTTGCTGTGTTATTAACCTTCCGAGCTTGTGTTTTCTGTGCTGAGTACTGCCAGGGTTTCAAGAGCTTGGTTCAAGCACCTAACAGACACACTAGCCTTAGGTGTTTAGCATTCAACTTAACCTTAAAGAGCTGAATGACTTTGTTTGCAGTTAGAAATTCAAGTCCACTTTCTCTTTTATATCTTTTAAGTATCCCTGAGAAAAGAAAGCTTTTATTTTCTAAACAGTTTTCTATTCAAGTTGGCTTATCTTTGGGTCTTTTTATGGAGTGTAAGAGCAAAGCATTGTATTTCAGAAAAAAGAAGTTACAGTATTCTATAAAGACATATCTGTTTTTCTTATGGAATGGTCCTTGACCTGCATGCGAGGTTGTGTCCTCTGCCCCAAGCTCAGCAGCAAGCTTCATTCATTCCCACTGCTGAGAAAAGGCAGTGTATACTTGTAGAGAATATCAAGCAACATGCTACATACAAAGAACTGTGGGTCACTTTGCACCCAGCATGTATCTAGCTAAAATTATCCAGTATGTGATTCTCTAACCTGGTTGGGGCCTAGTGGGTGAAGTGGCAAGTAAGATATGTGTAGTTTCTGGGCCGCAGAGGCTGCCCACGTGCTCACTGTGCTGATAGAGATTATGCATTTCCATTCAGTTTCTTTTACATTTTCTTGTCAATCATCAGTTGACCTGACACACCTTGTAGAACCCGCCGTGCACATGTTGTAGGATAATTTGGAATTCATGTCATTGTCTTAGGTCTAAATTGATCTTCCTTCACCCCATGCCCTTTTAGCAGTTATTTATCTGAACCCTGACCTCACAATTTAGTTCTTCTTGTTAAGTAACGATACTTTCTGTAGTGCTTTGGAAATATGGGAATGATTAGAGGTGCAGGCATAGCCTCAGAAATGCCGTGTATACCAGTTGGCAAGAGATCCTTTGTATCTTTGTTATTACTTCTTATTTTCCTGCTAGTGAATAGTGAGACTGTCTCTTGGGGCTTAAAAATAATTTTTTCATTTAAAGTTCTCTAAGGATGTACTCAACTGCATACCAATATGAAATGCTCAGCAAACCACAACAATTTCAGTGCTTTGCACACAGTAAAGAATAAATGAATGAAACAAGGTCTATACAAAGGTTTTACTGTGCAATCCTGGCATGAAAGAATAGTCTAAGAGGTCTCTAAACTGATTTCTTCATGCAGCAAATTCCATTATCAAATTATTTTCAGAAATACTGGCATGAGCCTCCATTGTCAAGAGTTTTGTTTATCCTTTCCATGATTGCTATAAAGTGTTCAAGGCTTCCACTGGATAGTCTAGGTCTTATGAATATGTCTTACTAGACTTAGTATTGTCGTCATGGATTTTAATGACTATTTATATGTTTATAAATCTGATATTTCTCAGTGATGATACGTGTGATTGAAATAACGCATATATAATTAATAATGGGAACTTTTTCATTCAATCAGTAAACCAGCATTTTACCAAATCTTGTTCAACATAACCTTAATCCCTAAAATCGTAAATAGGATTGATACACTGATACTGCTTTAGCTTTCATGTTATGTGTGATCAGAGTATCATTTAAGATAAAGCAAAGTAAATAATGCTTAGAGGGAATTGGGCTAATTTGAACTAGACTAAAATAAAGATATGAACTTTTAATTTTGCCATGAAATATATATATTCACATTAATCTAGCCATCACATGACCATGACAAGAAGTCTTCATGTTTAGAAACTTAACATTTAGAAATACCTGAACTAGGCATCTTTATTTCTCAATTAACTTTGTTTGTTAAGATGAATGAAACCAGAGTATGTTATATGAATTTTATACCAATTTACTTTGAAAACTTCAATAAATGGGCATTGAGAATTTGAATCCAGGGCTTAATATAGTTTTTTTTGCTTCTTTGTTGTTTTGTTCATAAGACTTAGCTAAGTCATAAAAGGACTAAAGCTGCTTCAAAATTCAGAAGGACCATTTGTTTCTAATATCACTTCCCCTGGCAACCAATTTATATTGCCCTGGAATTCTTATCCAACCACTATAGATGAGTTGAGTAAAATGTGCCAAATTAAAAATTGGGGAGCAAAATATAGTAGCCATAGTAATAAAATCTATTGGTTTGGATACCAAAAAAAAAAAAAAAAAGAAAAGTTTCCTTTCAGAATAAAAGGTACACGCTAAGGAAACAACTCAGTAAAGCTGGCTAAGGAATCCTATCGATAAGAATTCAACTTCTACCAAATAAGTTCTCAAAAATTTACTCTCATCAGGGTCATAATTTTCAATCCTGATGCTCCAAGCAAACAGTTTCATCCGTTATTAACCTTAAAATAAATAACTCTTCAGCAGTGAGGCAGTCTTTTCTTTAGCTTTGATACACGTCGTGAAGATTGATTTTTAATTATTTATGCCTGTGCTGCAGGTTGTTTAATTATCCACCTTTTCATCATAGCATCAGCGATCACATGAAGACCCTGCAGCTCTAAAGTTTAGCTTCTACGAAGTGATCTCAGCTGGGCCCCATGCACCTTCGGAGCTGAGAGCCCTGCAGAAGAGATGTCTGGTTCCAGGGTGGTACGCCAGCCACATCGAGAGATGGCTTGTCTATTTCCCCCCCTTTCAGGTATGGAGTAGTGATAACTTACATCATGTCACAGTGTCATTAAGTTGATGACTTTGCCTCAAGGATAAAGTTTTTACTCATTAAAACATTACTAGCTTTTACTCTTTCATTGTAAAAAATGAAACCGTGGCAGAGAAAAATAAATAGGCAGGGGTAGAGAACTGTTTAATTTTCTAAGAGTATTTGAGGATAATTCTCCCTGCTCTGCTTTCTAGTGCATACCTTTCCTGGTTGTAAAGAGCTTCAAAAGCCTTAGATCCCTGATTCATATTCTGAGATGAATGGAGCTTGAAAGAGAACCCCTTAACCAAACCAGACAAATGTTGTTTTGCTTAATTAAGTACCATTATTTCCCTATTGAACCACCTTGTCCTATGTTTGTCTCAGTTCTCTTGCTTCTCTCTGTGCCTGGTGTTGACCTAGATCGCAAACCAACCCCTAAGCAATCCAGTGACATCAGATATAGGGTGTACCTGTGCATCTAGAACCATGCTGTCCAGTGTTACAGACACTACCACGTATGGCTATTTAAAATTATGCTAAATAAAATTAAAAATTCAGTTCCTAAATTGCATTAGCCACATCTCAAATGCTGAGTAGCTACAACTTAAACCCGGCAGCTGTAGAGCATGTCCATGACCATAGAAGGCCCTGTGGAACAGTGCTGGTCTGGACTAGAGAGGAACATTGGAGAAGAAGTGTGGGCAGGAGCTGCACTCCAGGCTCTGTGGCCTTCCGTCGTGGTCTCTGTCGCGGTGTCTCGCTGCGTCCAGCCTCGCCTGAGTGACAAGCACATTCTCCCCGTAGCCTCTTGAGGAATTCTGTCCATGTTCAGGTCCTCTGGGAGTCTTATACCTTCTTCTGCATGTGACTATCAAAATGTTTCTTCAGACCTCACCGTGCTGCTCCCGAGTGGCACTGTGGAGGGCACAGCCTCGATGTGTCGCTCCTGGGCCGGGCGCACCCTTCCTTCTCTTGCACAGCGCTGCTCCCAGCTCGAGTGGTGGAACCATTGCTTTGCTTTTAAACTTGGTTTCCATCTGTGATTTCGTGTCCCATTTCTAAGCTTCCTTGGTCCTCTCAACTGCCTTTTTTTGTTTCATAATGTTTATAGGACTTATCAGATTACAAAGCATGAATGCACTCAGTTGGCATGATTTATTTCTTGTTCCGGGTCGTGAGTGAGGATGACCTATTTACTTACGTCTAACGACGCATGCAAACCCCCTCAGGACAGCGTCTCTCGCAAAATGAGTTCAGAGTACAGAAATGTTTCATTATACAGTTAACATGTCTTTTTCAATGTGCACTGGGTTTTGTTGTTTTTTTTTTAATTTCTTTGGTAATTTAGTTGCTGATTATTGATGGGCAACAGCTAAGAACTGATCCTGCTACAGTGATGGATGAAGTACAGAAGTTTCTAGGAGTCTCCCCTCATTATAATTACTCGGAAGCTTTAACGTAAGTTTACATTCTAATTAGTTTATTGACATTTCAGGAGAAAACTTATTTTAGAGAAATTGTAGTTTGGCGATGCAATTTTTTAGGGTTAGCTTTTCTTCATATACTGATTATTTTTCGATTTGACATTAATTACTTGGGAAAGAACATTTCAACGATGTGCCAAAGAAATGGCCTAAATTCTGTTGATTCCTAATTGTGCAAAGATGTAAGTATACTATACAATGAAAAAAAAAAAAAACAAATAATTGTGCAAAGATTTCCCTTGAAAGGAAATTGAGAAACAAAACAGTTGTGAATCTTTAAAAACCTTAAAAGAGGAAGTAGGAACAGGTGATTAACTTAGGAGTTTAGGAACTCACTCTTCTCTCTTTGTGCAATTTTCAGAAACAATGTCATACAGAAAAAAAAAATAGCCCACTAGGTGACTGAGTGACAGAGATGTATGTGCTCTTAAACACACTTCCGGTTTTTGCTTCTCTGTCTTTACCCATTGTAAGTGTCCCCAGTCACCTCTCCTCGAGAGGCCTTGGCAGTTACAGCACTGGTTTGGTTTGTTGGTTGGTTTGTATGGTTTTTGCTGGTTTCCTCTGATCTTCTTAGGCAGTTGACTCCCTAGGGCTGGGACCTGCAGGGAGAGGCCAGAGGGGTGCTGGGGTTCAAAGAGGCTCTCACTCTCAGGCCTCACACACCACGCTCCTCTCTTACCTCACCCTAGCTCTCACTCCAGGCTTCATTTAGTATTTTTAAATAAGACTTCCATCTTACTCTGTCCATTTGTAATGGTTCACAATCAGATCTATGAAGGTTATGTGTATTATTAGAACAACTGGAAGATAGTGGAATGGGGCCACGGACCTGACTCTCACTATAAAAAAATTTTTTTAAATCTTAGGCTAATGGGCTGAGCCTTAAAGAAACTGACAAAGACTATATTATGGAATTCTTCCATTGTATTTTTTAGTGTAAAACTCAGTTCCATAGATCAACTGGGTTTCCCTTTCTTTAAATACTCTTTATCCTATTTCCATTTAGAAAGTGAGAGGCAGGTTTCTTTTACCTTTCAGCATCCCTTACAGTAAAGATTGGCAGAAAAATATCAAATACTACTTATGTCTTGCACAAATCATACGTAGAGGCACATGAGAGGGGCACTTTGGTTTAGAGGGCAAGGGAGTAGGTGGAACTCTGCAGTTTTGAGCTTCCTTCCTGAGAATCATTCACTTTGCTGTTGTTATTAACCTTCCGAGCTTGTGTTTTCTGTGCTGAGTACTGCCAGGGTTTCAAGAGCTTGGTTCAAGCACTAACAGACACACTAGCCTTAGGTGTTTAGCATTCAACTTAACCTTAAAGAAAGCTGAATGACTTTAGTTTGCAGTTAGAAATTCAAGTCCACTTTCTCTTTTATATCTTTTTAAGTATCCCTGAGAAAAGAAAGCTTTTATTTTCTAAACAGTTTTCTACTTCAAGTTGGCTTATCTTTGGGTCTTTTTATGGAGTGTAAGAGCAAAGCATTGTATTTCAGAAAAAAGAAGTTACAGTATTCTATAAAGACATAATCTGTTTTTCTTATGGAATGGTCCTTGACCTGCATGCGAGGTCTGTGTCCTCTGCCCCCAGCTCAGCAGCAAGCTTTCATTCATCTCCACTGCTGAGAAAAGGCAGTGTATACTTGTAAGAGAATATCAAAGCAACATGCTACATACAAAGAACTGTGGGTCACTTTGCACCCAGCATGTATCTAGCTAAAATTATCCAGTATGTGATTCTCTAACCTGGTTGGGGGCCTCAGTGGGTGAAGTAGCAAGATAAGATATGTGTAGTTTCTGGGCCAGCAGGGCTGCCCACGTGCTCACTGTGCTGATAGAGATTATGCATTTCCATTCAGTTTCTTTTACATTTTCTTGTCAATCATCAGTTGACCTGACACACCTTGTAGAACCCGCCGTGCACATGTTGTAGGATATTTGGAAGTTTCATGTCATTGTCTTAGGTCTAAATTGATCTTCCTTCACCCCATGCCCTTTTAGCAGTTATTTATCTGAACCCTGACCTCACAATTTAGTTCCTCTTGTTAAAGTAACGATACTTTCTGTAGTGCTTTGGAAATATTGGGAATGATTAGAGGTGCAGGCATAGCCTCAGAAATGCCGTGTATACCAGTTGGCAAGAGATCCTTTGTATGCTTTGTTATTACTTCTTATTTTCCTGCTAGTGATAGTGAAGACTCTCTCTTGGGGGCTTAAAAATAAATTTTTTTCATTTAAAGTTCTCTAAGGATGTACTCAACTGCATACCAATATGAATGCTCAGCTAACCACACAAATTCAGTGCTTTGCACACAGTAGAATAAATGAATGAAACAAGGTCTATACAAAGGTTTTACTGTGCAATCCTGGCATGAAAGAATAGTCTAAGAGGTCTCTAAACTGATTATCTTCAATGCAGCAAATTCCATTATCAAATTATTTTCAAGAATACTGGCAATGAGCCTCCATTGTCAAGAATATTGTTTATTCCTTTCCATGATTGCTATAGAAAGTGTTCAAGGCTTCCACTGGATAGTCTAGGTCTTATGATATGTCTTACTACGACTTAGTATTGTCGTCATGGATTTTAAATGACGTATTTAGTATGTTTATAAAATCTGATATTCTCAGTGATGATACGTGTGATTGAAATAAGCAATATAAATTTAATACAATGGGAACTTTTTCATTCAATCAAGTAAACCAGCATTTTACCAATCTTGTTCAACATAACCTTAATCCCTAAAATCGTAAATAGGATTGATACACTGATACTGCTTTAGCTTTCATGTTATGTGTGATCAAGCTATCATTTAAGATAAAGCAAAGTAAATAATGCTTAGAGGGAATTGAGCTAATTTGAATAGACTAAAATAAAGATATGAACTTTTAATTTTGCCATGAATATATATATTCACAATTATATCTAGCCATCAATGACCATGACAGAAGTCTTCATGTTTAGAAATACTTAACATTTAGAAATACCTGAACTAGGCATCTTTATTTCTCAATTAACTTGTTTGTTAAGATGAATGAAACCAGAGTATGTTATATGAATTTTTAATACCAATTTACTTTGAAAACTTCAATAAATGGGCATTGAGAATTTGAAATCCAGGGGCTTAATATAGTTTTTTTGCTTCTTTGTTTTGTTTTGTTCATAAGACTTAGCTAAGTCATAAAGGACTAAAGCTGCTTCAAAATTCAGAAGGACGCCAGTTGTTTCTAATATCACTTCCCTGGCAACCAAATTTATATTGCCCTGGAATTCTTATCCAACCCACTATAGATGAGTTTGAGTAAAAATGTGCCAAATTAAAAAAATTGGGGAGCAAAATATAGTAGCCATAGTAACTAAAATCTATTGGTTCTTTGGATGACTTATGCAAGAACACCTACAAATGCTAAGTAGTGAAAAGGAAAAAAAAGTCGTCTCCAATTTCTTATGACAAATTCTTTAAAGTGGTTGTAACATTTCAAAATAAATATGTATGTTCTAAGTATTATATATATGTGTTTATATATACACATATATATGTGGTTTATATTTTTACATATATATATACACATACCTATTACTTCATGAAAACACTATGTGATAGGTACAATTAGCTCCATTTTTCAGATGGAAAAACTGAGGCTTAGGAAAGTTAAGCCAAAAGTCACTCAGCAAATAAGTTAAAGAGGCAGAATTGAAACTCAATCAGTTATCTCTGGAATGTACACAGCCAATCTGTTAAGCTCTTCTATATTGGCACAAGATGTTAGAATCTGAGAAAAACAATATTGTTAATTTTTACTAATGAACAGTATTTTAACAGGAAGTACTTCCTTTAAAAAACTAGAACCTTAAAATGAGTAAGGTGTCTCAGACTTTGCTATGAACAGAATCCATCTCCAGATATACTCAATGTCGTATTGCATAATAAATATGTAATCAGAGATGTGCAAATCAAAATTACATTGAGATAACACTACCCCTTAGAATGGCTGTAATCCAAAAGAGAATAACAAATGTTGGCAAGAATGTGGAGAAACTGGAACCTTCATATATAGCTAATGATAATGCATGATATATGGTCACTTTGGAAAGCAGTTTTGCAGTTTCTTAAAAATTAAACAGAAACTCACCCAACAATCCAATTCCACTCCTAGGAATCTACCCAAGATAAATGAAAACCTAAGTCCATAAAAACTTGTAAGTAAATGTTCATAGCAACATTATTCATAATTTGGATTGTTTTGAATTCTCAAAACTAGATAATCCAAATGCCCATTAAGTGGTAAATGGAATAATTTAGTATATTCATACCAGGAAAAAAAGGATATGTTCAGAAAAGACAAATTTATACTAAGAAGATCAGTGCTGCCTGGTACTGGGAACAACAGCAGGGATTGACTACAATGGGCTCTAGGGGTCTTGGCGTGGGGAGTGGAAATGTTCTAAAACTGGATTATGGTGATAATTATGCAATTATGTAAATTTGCTAAATATCATTAAATTATACACTTAACAATAAGTGAATGTTACGTGAATTATACCTCCAAAAAAGTTGTTAAAAATAAAATGTGTATCAGTAAAATTATTCATTAAATCATAAAAGTATGTTTGTCAGGAGAGAACTTACAAACTTCTATGCTTGTCTTAAGTAACAACCATATGATGGTATTTTGGTTTTGAAATTTATCTGCACTATTAGCAATTCAGTATTCTCCCATGCAAATGGTTTTTCAATTTAAAGGCATCTCAGACATACCTTAACTTTATAAGTGTAAACTGAGTGTCTCCTAGGATTCACTTGCACACAGGTAGAATTAAGGTCATATTTTCATTAATATAGAAATGTTATTGGTTAGAGGTTGAATCAGTGGGAGAATCTTGGTACCTCTAACCACAGTCTTTTCCAGTTATTTCTAGACATCGCCAGGTGATATTCCAGACAACAACTATTCTTGTCCATTCTTCTT